CAGTGGGAATCAGTTAGGAGCTTGGCGAGAAGCAGTGGGAAGCAGTGAGGAGCAGTGGGGAGCAGTAGGAAGCAATGGGAATCAGTGAGTAGCTTTGAGAGAAGCAGTAGGAAGCAGTGAGGAGCAGTGGGAAACAATGGAAATCAGTGAGGAGCTTGGAGAGAAGCAGTGGGAAGCAGTGAGGAGCAGTGGGAAGCAATTAAAATCAGTGAGGAGCTTGGAGAGAAGCAGTGGGAAGCAGTGGGGAGCAATGGGAAGCAGCGAGGTGCTTGGAGAAAAGCAGTGGGAAGCAGTGAGGAGCAGTGGGAAGCAGTGAGGAGCTTGGAGAGAAGCAGTGGGAAGCAGCGAGGAGCAGTGGGGAGCAGTGGGAAGCAGTGAGGATGAGTGGGAAGCAATGGGAAGCAGAGAGGAGCTTGGAGAGAAGCAGTGAGTAGCTTGGAGAGAAGCGGTGGGAAGCAGTGAGGAGCAGAGAGAAGCGGTGGGAAGCAGTGAGGAGCAGAGAGAAGCGGTGGGAAGCAGTGCGGCTCCACCTTGCCCCCTTCCCGATTCCGAGGTCACCGCCTGATGGAGGTAAGGGCAGCTTGAGCGAAACGTCGAGGCGCGTTGGTGTTGAGCTTCGGGGGAGCATGGGGAGGGGGGAGGGGGAGCATGGGGAGGGGGGGGGGCTCTGTCAATCAGAGTCGGTTCGACTCATGGCCTCGTGTCGAGAGCAACGTGGGCGTCAACGCGACAATCTCGTCGGGTGGTGGAGGGGTCCACGGCGATACATTTTTCTGGGCATAAAATCACCGCCACCGCGTGGCCGAACCCAAACACACACGCGCGGATCATCCGCGTGAATTATCCGTGCGAGTGTCCTGTAGCGAAGTTCCACGCGGCAACGGCTGTGGACCAGACCTCGGCACAACGCGGATTCCCCTTCCGTCGCCCCAACGCGGATCACGCAGCTCCCCCGGTGGGCTGCGCGCAAACTCCCACGGCGCTCGGCCCAGACGACGTCTCTCGCAGCGGCGTCAGCCTGGGGGCCGCGGGGGGCGGCACGGATAGGAGGATGAGGCTGCCCCCTCCCCATCCCTCCGCCCTATTTGTCTCTCCACAAATGAACCCCGGGGGGGGGGGGGGGTTAGCGAGAGGTGAGAGGGGGTCAGAGGGAGGTGAGGCGCGCGGTTCACGTTACGTACGGAGCCCCTGATTGTTTACGTCACGTGACCAAATGCTCCCCGTGTAGCCTGCATCGGCTGTTGGGGCACGTTCTGTTAGTGAGCGCCTATTGAGGTCCTGGGGTGGGTGGCCAGCACCACGCCTGTCCGGCTTGGTCTCCCCAATGCTGATGTTTACACACCGTGCCCAGGACCCATCTGAGATTGAATCGGCCTAGGGAAGGCAAGGGACTGGATTCAGATATTCGCTGTCACTGTTATTGGTCGTGAGCGGGCTTTCGAGGTCGGGTCGCCGGGTTCGTAGCGCAGTGCAGCGCTAACCACTGCGCCACCACTCCCTCGTGAAGTGTGAAACCCCGGGGGTTTATCCTGGGAGGAAGAAGAGAAGGAAGAGGAGAGACGCCGCCTCGCGTGGTGGATCATCCATCATCACCGCCATCATCACCATCATCATCACCATCATCATCACCGCCATCATCTCCGCCATCATCATGACCATCATCATCACCATTACCACCACCATCATCACCGCCATCATCATCACCGCCATCACCATCATCATCACCATTACCATCATCACCGCCATCATCACCACCACCATCATCACCGCCATCATCACCGCCATCATCATCACCATCATCATCACCATCACCACCACCATCATCACCACCATCATCACCACCATCATCACCATCATCATCACCATCACCACCATGATCACCACCACCACCATCACCACCACCATCATCACCACCATCACCATCATCACCATCATCATCACCATCACCACCATGATCACCACCACCACCATCACCACCATCATCACCACCATCATCATCATCACCATTATCATCACCACCATCATCATCACCACCATCATCACCATCACCACCATCATCACCGGCATCATCATCACCATTACCACCACCATCATCATCACCATCACCACCATCATCACCATCACCACCAACAGCATCATCATCACCACCACTATCATCACCACCATCATCATCACCATCACCACCACCATCATCACCACCATCATCATCACCATCACCGCCATCATCATCACCATCATCACCATCACCACCACCATCATCACCATCATCATCACCACAACCACCACCATCATCACCATCATCATCATGACCATCACCACCATCATCATCACCATCATCACCACCATCATCATCACCATCACCACCACCATAATCACCACCATCATCACCACCATCATCATCACCATCACCACCACCATCATCATCACCATCACCACCACCATCATCACCACCATCATCATGACCATCACCACCACCACCATCATCATGACCATCACCACCACCACCACCACCATCATCACCGGCATCATCATCACCATTACCACCACCATCATCATCACCATCACTACCACCATCACCAAAATCATCATCACCATCATCACCAAAATCATCATCACCACCATCATCATGACCATCACCACCACCACCACCACCATCATCACCGGCATCATCATCACCATTACCACCACCACCATCATCATCACCACCACCAGCATCATCACCACCACTATCATCACCACCATTATCAACACCACCATTATCACCACCATCATCATCACCACCATCATTATCAACACTATCTTCATCATCATCACCATCACCACCATTATCACCAACATCGTCACCATCAAGACGACCATGGTCATCACCATTATCATCGCCACTATCACTATCATCAGGAACCATCATCAGCACCATCATCAGCACTACCATCATCACCACCATCATCACCACCATCACGACGTAACGGACACAATCCGGGACTCTAAACGTCCCCGGAAAGATAGCTTCTCAGCCACCACACGAATGAACGGGACGACCCCGGGAAACCCTGGACAGGTGACAACACGCCACAATTCCCGTGTGTGACGCGCGCCCCACGTGGTTTGGGTTCAATGGGCGCAGCCACGTGCGGTCGGGCCGCTGTGGAGTTCGACGCGAGGCACCGCGCCACGGGCAGACAACTTCCACCCCCCACCGCGCCCCCTACCCCGCAGCCCACCCCGCCCCCCACCCACCCCGCCCCACCACCCTGCCCCCCACCCCCCACCCACCCCGCCCCCACCCACCCACACAATCTAAACGCGTTCGTGTTGCTCATCACATCGGCAGCAACTCGACGTCGTTTGCTCTTTGGTTTGGGCAGATGGCGCAAGTAAAGCGTTGTGTCGTAAACCCCCCCCACCACCACCACCACCACACCTCCCTCCACCCTACACAGCCAGATCACGGTCGGCCATGAGCGGAAACGGACGCGCGTGGAGCTGCCCTCGAAACCGAAGCTCCGGGCACAGCGAGTGGAGATGGCGTCGACTCCTCCCGGCATGCCGCAAGCGTCCGGCTCGCGCCTCGCTCGGTTCTCCCGGCTCGCACTTTCGCAATCTCGGAAATAAATTTCCAATTAAAATTATATTTCTCCATCTTCATAAATAAATCGCGTGGTTCTTCATTAAATATTCACCAACCTGCTCATCGCCACCCCCCCTCCTCCCCCGCCAGCCACCCCCCAACCTACACGCCGGTGATTGCTGAGAAGTGCGGTTTGATGAACGTCCATCGGCCCCCCTCTGCCGCGAGTTTCTGTTCGCCCCTCTGACCCTGCCTGCCCCGCTCTTTAACGTCGCTGGGCGGCTTCGTTCACTCGTGGGGCCTCCACTGTCAGTCAGCCTCCCCGCCCCTGCCCCGTATCTGTCTTTCACATCCCACACGCCGCAATTTTCTCAACAGCATTGGGTTTTTTCTTTCCTTTCAAAAAGCTAAACGCTGTACCGGTTTCGACATCCAGTGTCTCATCAGCAGACTCTCTTGGAACCAACGCTGCTGGCGAACTGCCTAGATGTCTCTCTATAGACATGGACCCTCCCCTCCCCCGCACTCTCAGCGTTAAGCTCTGGCTCCTAGCTCGACGCACAAATCTGTGACGCACAACACACAGTGGGGTCCCTCCCGTCGTGGGTGGCTGGTGGGGAGGGAGTGAGGGGGCCGGGGGGGTGTGGGGATACGCGCAGCGCCTCGTGGACGCCGCGTCTCTCGGGAGGGTCCTGGAGGCGGAGAGAGGCGCCTGCGGTTTCACCAGCGCGCCTCTCTGCACGCCAGAGCGCACGGGCCACGTGGCACGGGCCACGGGCCCACCCAGCGGGCAACACGGAGCGGAGGGAACGAAAATCGTTCGCGGATCCTGGGGGCGGATCGCGGTGGCATCCGCGGGGCCGCGATGGGTGGCGACGGCTTCAGGGGGGAGGCCTTCGCTCCAGCAGTGGGAATGAAGATCGTGGCTGAGGATGATTGGTTTGTTTGAATTTCTACAGCGTGAAAGATTTCTACAGCGTGAAACGACGCATTTGGAGTGTGTGTGTCTACACGAGGCGTGTGTGTGTGTGTGTTTGCGGGGAGTGTGTGGGCGTGTGCTAGTGCGCGTGGAAGGGAGCGGTGGTGGCAGTGGTTAGCGCACCACGCTACGAACTCGGCCAACGGAGTTGGATTTCCCGGCCACTGCCACAATCAGCGACAAGTCCTATCATCATCGACATCCTACGCAGCCGTGGGGCTTGCCCAGGTCGAGCATCAGCAAAGCGCAAGACAAAGTCGGTGGCATGCGGTGCGAGACAGCAGCGACCCCCCCTCGTGCGCGCAGTTCCGTCTCTCAAACGGCGCTGCCACTCGCACGCGGCAACTTGCCCCAGTCGGCGGCCGTGGGCTATCGGCTGCGCGAGCGTTCCCCGCGTCTCCTCGCGGCGGTGGCGGCGGCGGCTGTCACCGGCTGACTGGACTCGAGTCTCCGTGGCGGGGAATTAAAAACGGAGACGTTTATTTACAGTCGAGGTGACATCGTGAGTGACGGCGACACCGGGAGACGAGCACGAGACGTGGGGTCGGGCGGGGGGAGGATCGGGGGAGATAAACTGGGAGGGGGGAGGGGGGAGTGTGGTGGGGGGAAGAACCGGAGGGGGTGGGGGGGGGGACATGCAGCGGCGGCGGGGGGAGTGGGGAGGGACGCGGACGGGACAAACACAGGCACGCGCACAAGGAATAGGAGGGGGGGGCGCGAGGGGGTCACGGGGTGGAGTGGGGGGGGGTTACGCACTTAAACATTTCAGGCAACGCAGGCACGCGCACAAGGAGATACGGGAAGTGGGGGGGGGGCACAGAGGGGGAACCCCGGAACCCATTCCCAGGATCCCCTTTCAGGGACCCCGTTCGGGGGCTCGTGAGCCATTACCGCGTGTCGCGTGGGGTCAGAGAGGTCAAGTGCGATTATCATGCCACTTGGTGTGTGGGGGGGGGGGGGGGTGGAGGCTGGCGGCGATGAAGGAGGAAGACAGGAGCCCAGGAGAGGTCGGCGGTGTGTGGGGGGGGGGGGCTCATCGCGGGAACGGCGAGGAGGGTCGCGTAGGGGAAGCCCCCCTAATTATCGCCGCTGGGCCCCCACGCCCTTCCAGTAGGCCAGGATGTCGTGAAGGTCCTCGTGTCGCGCCAGCTGCACTTTGCGTTTGAGCGCGTGTCCCGCGGCGATGGGTTCCATCTCGGGGCCCCACGGGGCCCTCCTTCGCAGGGGCCTCCGAAGCCGGGCCCAGAGCCCCCGCGGGCCCCCGGGCCTCAGCTCGGCGCCCCCTCCGCACTCCGGGCTGGACGCGTAGGCGTGGATCCCGGTTCCGCGCCTCAGCCCGGGCCGGCACGGCGGGGGGCTCCCGGGGGAGTGCCTCACCGCGGCCGCCTCCCGCAGCTCCACGCCGGGACACGGCGTGCGCTGCCGGCCCGCGGCGGAGCCGAGGGGGCCGAGGGGGCCCGGAGGTTCGGGGCCCCCGCCGCCCCGAGCCGGGGCCGGCAGGAGCGGCCGCGTGGGGTCGTGCATGCCGGGCAGCGGAGCGCACGGAGCGGAGCGGTCTCCTCCGCCTGACCCCGCGACGCGGAGCCCCGTATCCACCTGCCTACCCTGGGCCCCCGGGCCCCCCCGACCCTCCAATCCCCCCGACCCCCCCGCCCCGCCACCCCGCGCTCGCTTTGATCCAGGCGCCACCGGCGTAGCCCCCGCGTGTCCACATGCCGCCATGGGGACGTAAGAGCCCCGCGTTCCCGTGGACGGGGGGGTCGCGAGCACCTGGAAGCCCTGCGGCCCGAGCGGTCCCTGCGGCCCGAGCGGTCCCTGCGGCCCGAGCGGTCCCTGGGGCCCGAGCGGCCCCTGGGGCCCGAGCGGCCCCTGGGGCCCGAGCGGTCCCTGGGGCCCGTGGGAGCGCGGCTCGGCGTGCACGTCGCCGGCGAGCAGCAGGAGCGGCGCGGAGCACGAGGAGTCGCAGAGTGGCGGCGCCTCGGCGCGCAGAGCGTCGATGCAGCTGTTGATGATGAGGTTGACGCGGTCCACCTCCTTGGCAATGGTGGAGATCTCGGCCGCCGATCCCCGTCGCTCGGCCGCCCCCGCGACCCCCGCGACGGCCCGAGTCTCCGCCAGCACCTCGGCGGGGGCCCGCACCTCCATGTAGCTGTGCTTGGTCGCGCCGCCCGCGTCCCTTCCCTCGTCCGCCTTGGCGTCGCGGCAGGCGGCGTCGGCGGGGGGCGCGGGGGGGCGCGGGTCGAGCCCCCCGCCCGCCGCTTCCTCCACGTCGCTCCCCTTGGCGAGCTCCGCCTTGGAGGCGCCCCCGGCGCCGTTCCCGGCGCCCCCCGCGCCGTCGCCGGCCCCGCGCCGCGCGCCGCGCAGCCGGCGACGCAGCGCGAGTCCCGCCGCGGCGAGCAGGAAGAGCAGGCCGAGGCCGCAGCCGAGCAGGGTGATGGTGCGGTGCGCGCCGCCGCCGCGCGGCCCCCCCGGCGTGCGGAAGTCGAGGCACGCGTGCTTGGTGCGCTGCGCGTGGCGGATGGAGACGACGCAGTAGGTGTAGTTGCGGTGCGCGCTCAGCCCCTCGACGCGAACCTCCTCGCGGTTCTGCCGCAAGTTCTTGACGTCGCTGTACGCGGAGCGGTTGTAGTGCGCCAGCACGTACATCTTGTCGAACAGGTCGGGGATCTGCACCCGCAGCACGGCGGACGTGCGCGCGTGAGACACCAGCTTCAGCGAGGGCAGCGCCTTCCCCCTCACGGGCCCCGCGGGGGTCGGCCTCCTGCCCGGCAGGCCCACGTCCGTGGCCATCCCTGAGCCCCCGTCCGTGCTATCCTCCCCCTCCTCCTCCTCGCCGCCGCCGCCGCCGCCGCGCCCGCCGACGCCCGGCCGCTGCGACCCCGCGCCCTGGGGGTCGACGGCAGCGGTGCTGGGCGCTGGCGGCGGCGGCGGCGGGGGAGCGTAATCCCTGCAGGCCACCAGCTTGCGAAGGGCGCTGCGGTGGCCAGCGGCGCCGCGCGTTCGCAGCAGCGGCACTCCCTTCATGGCGGGCGGAGAGGAGCAGGACAGCCGCTCCCACGACGCCACCGCCGAAGAGGAGGCAGGGGAGGAGGAGGAGGAGGAGGATGAGGATGAGGAGGAGGCGGAGGCGTTGATGTGCGCGCACATCCACAGCAGCAGGCCACGCAGCTCGCACTCGCAGTGCAGGGGGTTCCCGTGCAGCTCCAGCGACTCGAGGCGCTCGGGCCCGACCAGCGCCGCCGCGTCGAGCGCCGCGAGGCGGTTCCCCGCGAGGTCGAGGGCGGCGAGCGCGGCGCTCTGGCGGAAGGCGAGCGGCTCGACGCGGCGCAGGCGATTGGCCTGCAGCTGCAGCTCGCGCAGGTGCGGGAGCCCCGCGAAGGTGAACGCCGTGAGCACCTCCAGGCGGTTGTGGCCGAGCAGCAGCACGCGGAGCCGCGGCTGCGCCGAGAAGGCGCGCTCCTCGACGTCCGCGATGAGGTTGCGCGAGAGGTCCAGGTAGACGAGGTGCGGGTACCGCGACAGCGAGTCGCGCGCGACCGCGCGGATCTTGTTGCGGTTGAGGCGCAGGTCGGCGATGGAGCCGTTGAGGCCGCGGGGGATCGCGTCGAAGGGCGGCGTGTTCTGGTTGCAGATGGCGCGCGGCACCATGTTGCGGTCGCTCTCCACGATCCAGCAGTCGCCCGCCACGGCCCGCGCCGTCAGCCACAGCAGCAGCGCCGCGCGGAACCACGGCGGGCCGCCGCTCCCCATCCGCGCGCCCGGCGGGCCCCCGGGGGGGACTCCGCGGGCCCGCATGGCGGCCGCGGGCGCTACGCGGCCTGCGGCAGCCCGCGCCGCCCGCGTCCTCCTCCTCCTCCGCCAGGCAACACGCGCACGCGCCCGCGGCACGTGGCGCGGAGAGTCATGGCTCTGTCACTCCCAGCTCTCTTCCTGGGGGAGGGGGGGGGGCGATCCCTCCTCGGGAGCGCCTCTCTCTCTCTGCTCTCTCTCTTTGGGGTCTCTCTCTCTCTCTCTTCTGTGACCCAGCTCCTGTGAACGAACAGACGCAGCCATGCAGGAGATGATTAACCTCGGCGTCTTTCAACATCTCCTCTCTCGTGATCTACCCCCTCCCTGTACGGCCTCTCCTCCACTGCCCTTTATTATTTCCCTCCCCCGCCAGCCCACCCGGCTCCCGTGACTCATCCCAGAATGCCCCAAACGAAGCCAAAGCGAACGGTGCCGAGAGGCGAACTCAGCCGATTCCAACACCCAGCACCCCCCACCACCACCACCACACCTCATCCACCCGCGCCCCTCCCTCCTCGTCCGTCGGCGCCGCACTCGCTCAGGACGCGTCCGCGGTGGACGAGGAGCGGGGAAATGAGGCTCGGCACCGACGGTGAGGAGGAAAACGATGATGGTGGTGATGGTGACGATGATGCCGGTGGTTGTGATGTTGATAATGATGTCTCGCAAACAGCGACGCCACGCGGAGAGAGGGCGCGAGGAGGAGTGGGAGGCTCGGACAGCACGCATCGCAGCCACGTGGAGAGGGGGAGGGGCCCCCACCCCCCGCCCCCCCACGCCCCTCCCCCTGCCCCCCACGATTCAAAGTGGCGGACGCACGCGCCTCGTCACGTGGTCACCCCGGGCAGCAGGACAGCTCCTTCCTCACCTTTCATGTGCAGCCCCCACACAGCAGCCCCCCCCCCCCCGTCAAACACCGTCCCTCCTCCACACCCCCACACAAACAAAGATCACCCGTGTAGCCTGCACAGATTGCTCGGGCAAGTGCTGTTAGCGATCAGCAGCTTTGAGGGCCTCCACAGCACACGAGGGGGTGGGTGGCCAGCACCACGCCCGGCCGCCTTTGTCTCCCCAGTGGCGCTGTTTAAACACCGCACCAGGTATTGATTTGAGGCTGAGTGGACCTAGGGGAGGCCCAGGACTGGTTCAGATAATCGTCACTGGTGTTGGTGTTCCGTGATCGCTGCACTACCGCTCTCCACATACACACAACACACACACACACTTGCAGTGAACATACACACAACACATACACACACACTTGCAGTGAACATACACACAACACACACACTTGCAGTGAACATACACACAACACACACACACTTGCAGTGAACATACACACAACACACACACACTTGCAGTGAACATACACACAACACACACACACTTGCAGTGAACATACACACACACACTTGCAGTGAACATACACACAACACAAACACACACTTGCAGTGAACATACACACAACACACACACACTTGCAGTGAACATACACACAACACACACTTGCAGTGAACATACACACAACACACACACACACACTTGCAGTGAACATACACACAACACACACACACACTTGCAGTGAACATACACATTACAATACACACACACACACTTGCAGTGAACATACACATTACAATACACACACACTTGCAGTGAACATACACATTACAATACACACACACACACTTGCAGTGAACATACACATTACAATACACACACACACGCACTTGCAGTGAACATACACATCACAATACACACACACACTTGCAGCGAACATACACATTACAATACACACACACACTTGCAGGGAACATACACATTACAATACACACACACTTGCAGTGAACATACACATCAGAATACAACACACACACACACTTGCAGTGAACATACACATCAGAATACAACACACACACACACACTTGCAGTGAACATACACACAACACACACACACTTGCAGTGAACATACACATCACAATACATACATACTTGCAGTGAACATACACATCACAATACACACTCACACTTGCAGTGAACATACACATCACACCACACACACACTTGCAGTGAACATACACATTATAATACACACACACACACTTGCAGTGAACATACACATCACAATATACACACACTTGCAGTGAACATACACATTACAATACACACACACTTGCAGTGAACATACACATTACAATACACACACACACTTGCAGTGAACATACAAATTACAATACACACACACACACACTTGCAGTGAACATACACATTACAATACACACACACACAGTTGCAGTGAACATACACATTACAATACACACACACACTTGCAGTGAACATACACATTACAATACACACACACACTTGCAGTGAACATACACATTACAATACACACACTTGCAGTGAACATACACATTACAATACACACACACACTTGCAGTGAACATACACATTACAATACACACACACTTGCAGTGAACATACACGTTACACAATACACACACACACGCTTGCAGTGAACATACACGTTACACAATACACACACACACGCTTGCAGTGAACATACACATTACAATACACACACACTTGCAGTGAACATACACATTACAATACACACACACACTTGCAGTGAACATACACATTACAATACACACACACACTTGCAGTGAACATACACATTACACAACACACACACTTGCAGTGAACATACACATTACAATACACACACACTTGCAGTGAACATACACATTACAATACACACACACACTTGCGGTGAACATACACATTACAATACACACACACACTTGCAGTAAACATACACATTACAATACACACACTTGCAGTGAACATACACATTACAATACACACACACACACTTGCAGTGAACATACACATTACAATACACACACACACTTGCAGTGAACATACACATTACAATACACACACTTGCAGTGAACATACACATTACAATACACACACACACTTGCAGTGAACATACACATTACAATACACACACACTTGCAGTGAACATACACATTACAATACACACACACTTGCAGTGAACATGCACATTACAATACACACACACACTTGCAGTGAACATACACATTACAATACACACACACACTTGCAGTGAACATACACATTACACAACACACACACACACTTGCAGTGAACATACACATTACAATACACACAACACACATTTGCAGTGAACATACACATTACAACACAACACACACACTTGCAGTGAACATACACATTACAATACACACACACTTGCAGTGAACATACACATTACAATACACACACACACACACTTGCAGTGAACATACACATTACAATACACACACACACTTGCAGTGAACATACACATTACAATACACACACACACACTTGCAGTGAACATACACATTACAATACACACACACACTTGCAGTGAACATACACATTACAATACACACACACACTTGCAGTGAACATACACATTACAATACACACACACACACTTGCAGTGAACATACACATTACAATGCACACACACACTTGCAGTGAACATACACATTACAATACACACACACACTTGCAGTGAACATACACATTACAATACACACACACTTGCAGTGAACATACACATTACAATACACACACACACTTGCAGTGAACATACACATTACAATACACACACACACACTTGCAGTGAACATACACATTACAATACACACACACTTTGCAGTGAACATACACATTACAATACACACACACACCCATGCAGTAAACATACACAACCCATACACAACACACATGCAGTACACATACACAATATACCATACTATAAACTATGTTTATGTTATACAGGTAAGGCCCCTGGGCTATATCGCTATTTTTCAGAAGCCACCTGGCCACAAATCATAGCTCAACCAAGCGCCTGAGGCGCCGTCCATAAATGAAGTCTAATGGTGCTAAGTCGGGAGAACGGGTGGACTTGTGACATCAGAAAATGGGGTTTCTCCTGAAACAACAGAAATAAAGACACCAATCTAAGGGGCCGTCCATAAATGACGTCACGCGATTTTGGACGATTTTTGACCCCCTCCCCCTCGTCACACGGCGTCACAAAAAGTCAGACCCCCCCTCAAATATGACGTCACAAAGCTCTGCCCCCCCCCCCAAAACCATATTTCTATTTTGAAAATGAAACATGCATCAAATCGCTTTAAACTATTGTCATTGTAGTGCGTATATTTAATGTGGCGCTGCACTCTGATGTTGTAGGAGAAAAGATTAATAATAAAAAAGTCTATTTAATTAAGTAGAACGTGTTGTCTATATTTATTTAAAGTTGCGCATTTTGATGTGACGTCACATTTCTCACCCCCCCCCCCCCTCGTCACACATCGTCACAAATGTCTGACCCCCCCCCCCTAGGTGCGTGACGTCATTTATGGACGGCCCCTTATCATGTGGAACTATTTAACAACCAAATACTCTAAACCCGGGAAAAATCCACGCGACCACAGGGAGAGAAAGACACAGGGAGAGAGAGACACAGGGAGAGAGACACACAGGGAGAGAGAGACACAGGGAGAGAGAGACACACAGGGAGAGAGAGACACAGGGAGAGAGAGACACAGGGAGAGAGACACACAGGGAGAGAGAGACACAGGGAGAGAGAGACACACAGGGAGAGAGACACACAGGGAGAGAGACACACAGGGAGAGAGAGACACAGGGAGAGAGAGACACAGGGAGAGAGAGACACAGGGAGAGAGACACACAGGGAGAGAGAGACACACAGGGAGAGAGAGAGACACAGGGAGAGAGAGAGACACCGCAAACTCCAAATATACAGCAGCAGCAGGCGTCCGGGTTGGGATCGAACCCACGACCTCCTGCATACCAGGCGAGGTAGTTAACATCTCGCCACCACGGTGCGCCCATACACAACACACACAGTACACACACACACATGCAGTACACACACACATGCATACACAACACAAACACGCAGTACACATACACAATGCATACACAACACACACACACGCAGCTCACACACACAATGCACGCACAACACAAACACGTAATTCACATACACAATGCACGCACAACACACACACGCAGTTCACATACACAATGCACGCACAACACACACATGCAGTACACACACACAATGCATACACAACACACACACACGCAGTTCACATACACAATGCACGCACAACACACACACGCAGTTC